GCACCCACCATGCCCTGTCAGAATTCCAAATGTGGCCGCAGGGTCAAAAAGGCTGGGGACCCGTGGACTAGATGAACCACCAATCTGATCTAGCAGGGCTTTCTTACCTCCTTATGTCTCTCTGCAAGCCTAGTGCATTTTTATCCTGTCTTCCCTCCAAAGAGCTCAGAGCCAGAGCCGTGCTATATGTTGCCACTTGTCAACCAATGCAATGTGTCACTTGACAGATGGTATTTGAGGTGGTAGGAGACGACACACTTCCCATTCCTTCTTCAATGGGTTTGAGCATCGTTGGACTCCACACCTCAGAGACTGCGATGGACTCCAGGGTCTGAACCTTCTGGTTTTCTTTCTGTTCATACCGGGACACTGGTGTGTGTGTGTGTGCACTGTGGTATCAAGTGGCTTCTGATTTATGGTGGAATTATTGGTCTCCAAAAGGCCCTCTCGTTAACAGACTTGCTCAGGTCTTGCAACCCAAGGGCCTTTGTGGCTTCCTTGACTGAGCTGATCCATCTCATGTTGGGTCTTCCTCATTTCTTGCTGCCTTCAACTTTTCCTAGCATGTTTGTCTTTTCTAGGGAATCTCGTCTTCCCATGATGTGACCAAAGTACCACAGCCTCAGTTTAGTCCTTTAAGCTTCTTGAGAGAGTTCAGACTTGATATGATCTAGAACCCGCTGACTCGTCTTTGTGGCTTCCCGTGGGTAGTGGGTAGGCTTTCCACACAGAAGACACTGCTCCCTCTTCATGAGGCTGTCTGAATACGGGAATATCCAACATTCACTTACAGGGATTGATCAATCTATCACCTACTGGTATCAGATCTTGACTAACTTTCCCATTTCTATCTGCATATGGGGGGGGGGGAATGAAAGAACCTATAAGTAAATAGGGTTCTTCATCACAATAGAACAACAAAGGCAAACTTCTCAAGAGCTTTTTGTGTCATCCTGCATATAAGCCACAGGAATGGTTGACTCTACCTGCCTTGTTAACAGTGGTGATGGCAAATGCCGTCAAGTGACAGTGGATTTATGGCAACTCCTCATGGGGTTTTCAAGGCAAGAGATGAACAGAGGGGGGTTGCCACTGCCTGCCTCTGCGTAGAAACCCTGGACTTCCTTGGCAGTCTCCCATCCAAGTACTCACCAGGACTGGTCCTGCTTAGCTTCTGAGATCTGACGAGATCGGGCCAGCCTGGGCCATCCAGGTCAGGGACCTTATTCACATTTATTATTAATCTTTGGATTTTATTTTTCAGCCTTTGCGGCAATGCTCCAAAGATGGTCTTTTCTCAAGGTCTCCTCCTTTTTCTTTTTTTTCTTTTTAATATGCAAAAACAGAATTCCAAAATTGGCCTCAACCCCAATTGGAAACCCGAATTGGAAATCTTATTCTGTGTTCCCCATGGAAGAAGGCTCGCACCGTTCCTTTCCCCAGTTTTTTGCATTTCTGAGAAAGTTGTTTCAGTGTTATTCTTATATTGAATGTGTTTTAATTACTGTGGCACTTGCTGTGCATTTGGAAGAGTAGCTGCAGTGTTTACAGCAGAGATCAAAAACGGAAGACTGCCTTTGGGGGGGGGGATCTAGTCCTGCATCTATACACGGATCAATGTCCAATTATAAGCCGAGAGCCAGGGTTGTAAAAGAGGAAAGGGGGTGGGGGAATCACATGTGGGGTATTTATTACTTGGAAAACAAGGCCCCAAGTGAGGTCACCCCTCAATGATGCAGACAACACATGATGAAGCAACACCCTAAATATTCTGCACAGCAAACTCGCATTCTTGACATGATCAAGCGAATGAAGCCAAGAGCGCACGTCTTGATGAATGTGGTACACAACTTAGGCTGTGCTGGAGGCAAAAGATCTCGTTCTAATTAATCACCAATTAATAGAAAGCTTAGAATGTATTTCTGCTTAATTATAAATATAGCTTCTCATTAAGAAGGACTTAATTAATCAATTTTTTTTAAAAAAAGAAACACATCCTCAGAGCTGTGAATCATTTCCCCACACAACAAGCCGAAATGACTAACCGAAATGTGAAAGCTGAAATGCAAAATAATCCGGCTGCGTTCCTCCTTCCTGCCTGGGAGAGACAACACGCAAAATGTACAACACACATGCACGCACACGCATAATGCACACACACACACATGCTTGCAGATGGCGCAGTTGTTCGAGCTGGCACCGTTAGAGGATGGTGGGGCTTCTTTGGAAATAAACAAGCCTTGCAATTCGCACAAACCCAATCAGACACAGACTATGATGGAAGAGGCAGGCTTCTTCTCCTGAATTGCCAGCCGCTGCACAGCCACACTCGGAGGGATCGATCAGCAGTAGATTTAAAAGGACAAAACTCTACCAGAACTAAGGTTGCCAACTTCCGGGGGGGGTGGTGGTGTAGATCTCCTGGGGTTACAGTGGGTCTCCGGACTACCGAGATCAGTTCCCCTGGGGAAAACGGCACCTCTGGAGGCGGGGCTCCATGGCATTATATCTCGATGAGGTCCCTCCTGTTCCCAAACCCCACCCTCCCCAGGCTCCATCTCTGGATTTCCAAGAATTCCCTGATGTGGAGTTGGCAACCGTAACCATGCTGGATCATACCAATGGTCCATTCCAGAACCTGTCTCCAGCACTGGCCGGTCAGATGCCACAAGGAATCCCATAAACGAAACCCGTAAACCCTGCTGACCGGCCCCCAGCCTCTGACAATGAGACTCTTCTGCCTCCAGACTCAGAGGTCCCATGGCACTGCAAAGGGACACAGCTGATGGCCTGGTTTTGCCAACCTCCAGGTGTTGCCTGGAGACCTCCCACTGTTACAACTGAGCCCCAGACAACAGTTCCCCTGGAGAAAATGGCTGCCCTGGAGGTTGGATGCAGTGGCATTATATACCAGTGACGTCCCTCCTCCACCCTCCGTCCCCTGAATCTCCAGGAATTTCCCAACCCAGAACTAGCAACCCTCGACAAGGACAGACCTGTGCTCCATAAATCCCCCCCACTCTATTTTTTAAATGGGGGTGGGTGGGTATTCTGTGTGCGCGTCTGTGTGCTTGTGTGCCTGGAAGCCATGGTGACTTCTGGCAACCCTTAGTGGGGTTAGGACATTTCAGAGAGGTGGACTGATATTACCTGTCTCTGCATCCTGACCCTGATATTCCTTGGAGGTCTCCCTTCCAAGTACTTGCCAGGGTCAGCCCTGCTTGGCTTCCGAGGTCTGACTTGCCTGGGCTATTCAGGTCCCCACCCCCCTTAAAAGCCATCTAAACCAGTGGGCATCATGACATCTTGTAGTAGTAGCAGCCAGATCGCTCCAGCAAATACATATGTGCAGCTGAGGGGCTGTGGCTTCCTAAAAGTATTTCTAGAACTCCCTAGAAGATGCTCAGGTACTTGCAATGGGCAGAGGACCCGTGGAGGACAGGCTTTGCAGACAGGCAGCAGGCCCAGCCCGTGGGATTGGCCTTCCTAAGCTGCAGGAGGCTGAATACATGTGGGCCTGGTGAATTTGCCGCACCGTGTGTATGCACCCTAGCATTAGCCCCAGAATGCATCTCTGCTGCATGCCAGAGTTTCATGGCAGAAGCTCAGAGGTCTTCTCAATGAGGAATGTTTTCCCAGAAGAGGCAGACGTCTCAGATGGTTACAACGAAACGTTACAGAACGCTCCCAGCCGGAATCTGTTCCGAGGACTGGAAGCCGCCCAGCAGCCATCCGCTCGAGATGTCATCACTGGATCATTAAGAGCCTACTCCTCATTATAATTTCTTGGAACCACTGATCTCAGCAGGCCTGACTGCCCCACTCCTCTGTGTTGGGATTGCGTCCTATGCCTGACATTAATAAGCAAGATCCCTCACGGAACTCTAAAAAGCCATCGGGCGGCCGTTCCTTAGGGGCTTTTTCCCAGTTCCAAAGGTGTCTCCTGCTCACTGTGTTATCATCAGTACTAAAAAAAATAGGAATGCATAAACCCACTGTCAGCTGTTCTCCATGGGCGTGTTCCCAAAGGTTAGCTTGGGTTTGATTAAACTTTTAATCACGATTCTGCTAGCATGGATAAAGGGTTTGAGTTATCTGTGCCCAGCCCAGATATTCAGGAAGGGTACATGTGATCCTTAAACTGCCACACTAACCATGCAAATCCACCACGATCCTGCCAGACACTAGAGCAAAATGGCCGTAAGCTAAACATTCTTACAAATCCCTTAAAATCCAAATATATAAACCAGAATGCAAAGAATTACAGGCTTGCCATTTGCCCACTCGCCTGGAGAAATTGAGGAGTGGGAGAAAAAAAAAGGCCAGAAAATGGCCTCCATAGTGATGCTGTAGGAATTTCCACTGATCTCTATGACCTTTAGGGGGGCTTCCTAAAGCATCACTCGGAAGTGATGTCACATCCTCCACAAACTCCACCCTTCCCAGGCAGTGACCTCAAAATCCACCAGCGTTTTCCAAGCTCCTGCTGGTGGCCCTACTTTCGGCATGCCTAATGGTCTTTGAACAGCAGACCCCTCCACTGTATCACAAATGATTTTCAAATACCTGTTCTCTTAAAAACCCAAAAATAATTAGCCGTTCGGCATGGGGAACCCTTTAAGAAACACACAAATTAAATCCCAAAGCCCTCTTGGGCATATGTGTGTCTTTGGATCGAACACATCATCTAATACTAGTGTTAAACAAATGCCGATAACCTTTGTTACTAAAACAGCATCGGCTTGGAAAACTTCTATAGGCAACCATGCATTCTATTTTACCTTTCTACTAAACAAAGTGTGTGTGCATGTGTACACACCAGAGAAAGAGACTGAACATGTCCCCCCCCCTCCCACAGGCCAGCTGGACGATTTACGGTTTTTTCCGATAGCATTATCAATGTGGCTCGTCCAGACTGATAAAAGTGCTGGAGCAGCGCTAATAGGTTTCTAATCATTACTTAAGCCTCAGACTTTGCGAGCCCAGGCTGCTGCACTCACCTTGTTCGAGTGGCTGGCTTTTCGTCGAAGTCGTTTTCATCTTGAGTGCCTCCCTCACGGACATATCGCAGCAGGAGCCTTTGTTAGTATCTTGGTCACTGTCGGCCTGATCACTGTCCCCGTGCCCGCTATCTCTCAAGCTGGCGCGTTCTGGGTCCTTGAACGTGGAGCTACTGAAATAGGCACCGGGAAAAGAAAGAGGGCGAGAGAGAAAGAGAGAGAGAGAGAGAGAGATGTGAAAGTTGTATGCACTTCCCCTCCGTTGGAATTGTAGTCTCTGGCAAAGCAATTTTGACAAGAATGCAAATTGGGAAGCCGAGAAAGTTATTTAATAGGCCTTACCTTTGAACAAACTGCTGCCTGCTGCCCATGTAATTGGGCTCTGCGGGAAAATTGTCAGTCTGTGAAAGAGAAGGAAAAAAAAATACATCGAGTTGTACACTGGACAAATCTCCTGCGGAGCAACAAGATTTCCTAGAGGAGGAACGATTAATAATTCAAAAAAATAAAAAAATAAAAATCCCCCCTCCCTTAATCTTCAAATTTGTACATTTTAATTAAATCGGAAAATGACGGTATGTAATTATGCACTCGGAACAATTAAGTGATCCTGGTCCACAAATTACCTGCTAAAACAAACAAGGAAGATTTACATAAGTGACAGGGAAATACGGTTTGCAATTAGCTACTTGGCAAACTGATGGTAAACTGATAGTTAGGCAAGTTCAGGGTGGCCCGGGAGGATTTGTAGGGATGTATCACTGGTGTTCTTAAAAGCTCTCGAGAAATTATTTCAGCATGCACTAAAACTTTTCCTGGGTTTACTTTATGTATACGAACTGGAAAATAAGATAATAAAAATGTGACAGCCCTAGTTTATGAGCTGTCGTGGTGGTTTTCTCCATGCAGGATTTGTTTTATTTATTAATTTATTTCTTCCTCCCCAGTGGGGATCCAAAGCAGCTGACGTGGCTCTCCTCTCCTCCACTTTATCCTCACAGCAAACCCCTGGGGTAGTTTAGGCTGAGAGTGTGTGGCTGGCCCAAGGTCGCCCAGGGAGCTTCCATGACACGAGTGGGCATTCGAACCCAGGCCTCCACTCCTCTTTAACAACTACATCGCACTGGCTCTCTCAAAACATTTAAAACAATTATCAGCGGCCTTTCTCCCTTGTGGACATGAAAGCGGATTACAGTATAACACATTATTTTCTTTAAAAAAACAAAAACAATGATAAAACCCACAGAAAGTCATAATTTAAAACTCCAATTAGAAACACCAATAATAAAAGCTATATTTAACCCAATCAAACCATCTTCAACTTCCTCCTAAAGATGGAAAGTGTGTGTGTGGGGGGGAGGCGCATCTCCTTGGGGAGCTTGTTCTGTAACTGTAACTGTGGGGCTGCTGTGGAAAAGGCCCCCCTCTCATGTGCCCACCAAGCGAGGGTCTTTGATTGATGGGACAGTCGGGAGGGCCTTCCACTTCGATCTTAATTCCCTGGCAGGAGTGCATGAGAGAAGATGGTCCTTCAGATACCCCAGTCCCAAGCCAGGTAGGGCTTTGGCAGCACGGGCAGTAGGGCTGCCAAGTCCCCTGGGGAGGCGAAGATTTGCCCGGCCGAAGGGCCCCCCACCCGCCGGTCCGGATCAGGCCGGCAGGTGGAACCCCGCCCTCAAAGTGCCCATTTCGGGCCGACGTGCCCAGCGCGATGACATCACCTGGAAGTGACGTCATCACATTGGGCACGTCGCCAGCCAACGCTCTAGCAATCAGCCTGAAAACTCTATACTACCATAGAATTTTCAGGCTGATTGCTAGAGCGTTGGCCTGCGACATGCCCAATGTGAGGATGTCACTTCCAGGTGACGTCATCTTGGTGCACGCATGCTTCACACGCATGTGAATCTCCCGGACCAGAAACAACTCTCCCCCACTGCACAACGTAAGTGACTTGCAGGCTTTGGTCACAGGAGCTCTCCCTTCCCGGGCCTTCCCACAGTCTGAAGGAACAGGGTCCAGCCACAAGTTTGCCATGCTGGAGCCAGAGGCACACACTGTTGGATTTGTGCAGAGCGAGAGAGCTAGGTCGGGGCTGGTTTTCATCCTGTGGTCGGTGGCGGACAGAATGCAAAATACAAAGAGAAATCCTTCTAACTCTCCCCCCTCCCCAAATAATAATAATAATTTGCTCTATCAGGACTTACCATTTTTGTTCAATTTAAATAAAATTTAGTGGCGGTTAGAAGACGTATCGCCCTGACCTGGATGGCCCAGGCTAGCCCAATCCTGTCAGGTCCTGGTTGCTAAGCGGGATTGGGCCTGGGTAGCACTTGGATGGGAGGCCACCGAGGCAGTTCAGTTTTGCTACAAAGCACCACTGTTCCTCTCTATCCCAGAACGTTCTACAGGGTCACCATAAGTCGGCCGTCCCTTGCCGGTACATTTCACCAGCAGAAGACATATGGCCTAACCAATCCCTATCAGAAAAGATAGTTTTCCTCATGAATATCACCCTCCGATGATGTGCGGCTACAGAAAATCCCTTAGCGTGTGCTTGGTATCACACAGTGGCCTCACCCACAGGAAGTAGCTCATTGGCTAGTGTATGTAGGGCTCTTTCATTTACTTAGAAAATGTCCATCCAGCAAACAGTAGCATGCATCCTACCATCCATGAATCCCCCGCTTCCCCGTCCTGTGACAGCCTACTCAATTCCCCTGACAATTTTCCCTGGGGTGGGTCAGTAGCATCTCAGAAACAGCACAGGGGGGCAAAGTGGGAGCCCACACTGGGAGAGGACAAATTGGCAGACTTCACTGCAAATGGAAATGCCATACTACTGGACAAACTGTGTCTGGATGAAAGCCAATAACTCTACAGAACCGACGGGGTACCAAGATTGGGTGCCAGGCCTCCCCCTATGGAGTTTCTGGCAATTCTTAGAGAGGCATGATGTCATGTTCAGCTTTTCACTGGAAGTGATGTAATGCCATCACGCTTATTCTTAGAGAGGCATGATGTCACGTTCAACTTTTCACTGGAAGGGATGTAATGCCATCACGCTTACAGTGCCCGCCTGTCTCTGCCTCACCCCCAGACTCCCACTAATACAAGACAAGACCTATGAAGACTCAGGGAGAGGGAAAATGTCTCCCCCCACTGTTATATATGCAGATATATGCAGGGATATCTTCAATAGGGAATCAATGCTATTTCCTAGAGAACATGACAACCAACATCTGAATCATAGAATCCTACACATAATATGCTTGGTGATGTCCAGCCTGTGTCTACCCTCAAAGAGACCTGCAAAAGAGTCAAGGGAAGACCTGGTGGCATTTAACTCTAGAAGGTTAATGTGTTTACTGGATTCCCCAAGTGGCCATCTACCACTGGTTGAGAAGCCGTCGCAGTACCCCCCCATCCCTCTAAAGACACATCGGTGCCCATCGGAATGTCCTGTAAGACGGTGCCGAAGGAAACTTCCCATAATAAGTTGTTTGTGGTTTTTTTGTCATTTAGCTACCACCAGGTGGATCTCAGCACTGATCAGGGAATGGATAATTTGAGCCACTGAGGGTCTGCATTGGTCACAAATCTATGAATTTGAAGTCTAGCTTGCTGGACCACTGCAGTGGTGGAGGACATCAGGCCCAATAACGTCCAAATCCACACTGTTTTTTGCAGTCTTACCTTCCAAAACTGTGCTACAAGAGCTTGGATTGCCCAAGCCCTTTGAACAGGAAGGTAGGCCCTATCTGAGTTAGAATATAAACAAGCCCCTATAAACTTGACCGAATGAGAGGGCTGCAAGCAGGATTCATCCCAGTTAATAACAAGACACAAGTCTTCCAGTGTGGAGATAGATAGGGAGAGATATCTCTGAAGAGATTCACAAGAAGGGGCAGCAAAGAGCCAGTAATTCAGGCATGGATAAATACAGCAACCTTGGAAGGTTAAACCAGCCATCACTTTGGCTACGCATTTCATGAAAACCCTGGGCGCCATGGCCAAACCAAAAGGGAAGACATTATATTCATAGCCAGAACCATTACAGCAACACCGAAGAAATATTTTATAATTGTCACGTGTGGCTATGTGAAAATATGCATCCTGAAGGTCAAGGACTGAAAACCACGTGCCGGGGTTGAGTAGAGGGAGTCCATCTGACAGGGACCGCATTCTGTATTTCCTAAGATGTTTTCTAAGGTGCCTCAAGTTCAGAATTGGTCTCATGTCCCCTCCCGTTCTTACCAATCAAAAAATATCTGGAGTAAAACCCCTCAGTCACCTCAGAGGGCCACAATTCCCACATGACCCCTTTTGAACACAGGTCAGATACCTCCTTGACCAACTCCTGGGGAGGAGATGAAAATTCTCTAGGGGGGGGGGCAAGGTAGCCAGGCTCTGATTTGAACTCTAAGAAATAATAAAATTTTATTACCGATGACACCCACTTATATTACTTGATAAACTCCCATTTAACAGAGAAAGGAGAAAGCCAGCTTCCCCCCCAAAAAAAAACACGTCAGAACCTAGTCATGCCAACTTCCGGTTGATGGCGGCGCGTTAGCAGACTCACCTCCCAGACCTCCCGGGGGTGAAGCTGCGCTCTGGCCAAAGGAGGGGGTGTGCAGGTTCGTCACCCCCCCAGGGACCCAGCTGAAGGGGCCCTGGCCAGGGGACTTTTGAGAGGTCGCCTCTTCGCCGGTGCAATGCCGGGGAATTGAGGTGCCTCTCCGTCCCAAAGGTTCTTCGTGCCGTGAGGCCGAATGGACACAAATGACGCCGACCGGGGCAAGCGCAGGAGGTCGAACGGCAGAAATGATCATTAAAAGAGGTCTGAGGACCAACTATGAACGTGAGTCTAATGTAAGCGGCGGTTAAAGAGAAAAGAATGCTCCCTACCCCATTCTGTAAAACGGAAAGTGAGACGGGGGGGGACACCTCCCAACCGCATGAACTGTTGAGCGAATTGAGGGGGGGGGGGTGGAAGAGAAAGCGTGCAAAACTGTTAAGAAATACTCACCAAGGCGAATTCGAGCGTTTGGGCGCATATTCAGAGAACTTTAAAATACTTGTTAAAGTAAACAATTGATAAAGATGGTGGGGAAGAGGACGGAGAAAGAGAAACTTCTGAAATTGAAACTAACGGAGAGTCCTAAACCGGAAGGAACCAACGAGCTGGAAAAGACTTTGGCAGAATCCATGCACCCTCTACTGGGCCAGATGAAAAACATCAAGGAGCAGATGTCAACAATGACTCAGTGTATCATCACACAGCAAACACAGATAAACGAGACTCTTAAAATGATGAATGAAACAGCTGTGAAGGTGAAAAAAATGGACGCCACTGCACAAAAGGTGAAAAAGAAAGTTCAAAAGCTGGAAAAGAAGC